AGGCTCAGGAGAGCACAGCTCAGCCCAGGGGCTTCCCAAGCACAGACACAAACCTGACTGGCTCAAGTTGCATTTTTGACAAAGAATTTAACTTCAAATCTGTCAAAAGACTTCAGAATACAAAACTTAAAAAACCAATTAAATTGACTTAAAAGCAGAAAGACAAGTCCCTTTACCACATCAGCCACATAACAGCAGTTCCACATCTGTAAAGAAAGTTTAGTTGGCTTCCCTTCCCCCTCACCTCCAACATGTGTGAAGCAGAAATACTGCATTTGGGTCTTACTCAGCAACAGGACTCCTTCCCATCCCCTTCCCTCACCCCCCCCCCCCCCCCCCCAACATTTCTAAGGATACACAGCGGGACTGGAAAACAGCAGCCTCAGGTATTTCAGCTAATCTTCAACAACACCTGAGGCTGTGTGGGTTAAGATACTGACACATGAACACTTGTTTCCTTTAATAATGGAATTTATTCATCTTATAAATCTGTTCAACGTCCACCTGCCAGCACAAGCAGCATTAAAACTTAATGAACCTCTTTCACTTTAATGCTCAAGGAGCAACTTGTACAAGAAATTCCTCTTCTCCACTATAATTAATACCTGCCTCTCCTGGCTATATAATGATAAATCCATATTCCATTCAGTCTTTCTAAGGAAGGCTTCAAGCTGAGTTTCTTGGAAACAGCAAAGGCACTCATAAGGCTTTGGGTGTTTGGAAATCCCCACCAAAAATGGCAATTGGCTTTTTCTTCAAAAATTCATACTTGAAGGTCTTGACCTGGTGGAGCAGGATCCAACCCCTGGAGCTGCAGTGAGGGCTCAGTTGCTGGAACAGCACAGGTAAGAACACAGAGGTATGGTGGGTTTGGGCGGGGCAGAACACACCCCCGGACAGCCTGCGGGCTCTGGGAGCAGCTCTGCCCCCATACCCAACACAATGGGGTTCCTTTTGGGGAGGTATTGTCCTGGGGTGCAGAGGGGCCTGGGGGGGCCCGCAGGGTGCCCTCCCTGCAGAAGGCAGGGCAGCACACAGATGAGCTGGCCCTAAGAACTGAAGTGGGACTGAGCTGTCCTACCCCCCAGTTGTCACAGCAACCCAGGTGTCCTGCCCTCCAAAAAGGAGAAGCCCACCCACCCGAGCCGTCCCCAGAAGGTGAACCCAGGTGTCCTGCATCCACTCGAAAAAAAGGGGAACCCAACCGTCCAGCCTCCCTCACCCCTGCCCAAAGGAGAGTCCAGGCATCTGCATCCCCCCCAAGAGAGCCGCAGCCATCCTGCGCCCCAAAAAAGGCCCAGACAGCATGGCCCCCCTTGGCAAGAAGGGGAACCCAGGCATCCTGCTCCCCACCCCAAAAGGGAACCCGAGCATCCTGCTTCCCCAAGGGGAGAGCCCAGGTGTGTTGCTACTCCCTCGCAAGGAGGTCCCAGGCAACCTGTCACCCTCCCCAGAATGGCAAACCCTGGCGCCCTGCCCCCCCCCAGAAAAGGGGGAACCAACGCATCCTGGCCCCCTCCAGTAGGGGCCCAGCCACCCTGGCCCCTCCCCCACAAAAAAAAGGAGAAACCCAAACGTTCCGTCCCCCCCAAAAAAGGAACCAAGCAGACTGCCCTCCCACAAAACCAGCCCGGCCATCCTCTCCCCCGCAGAAAGGGCGGACCCAGCCGCCCTGTCCCTCCGCCACTGGAAGTTCAAGCATTCTGCCCACCCCCTAAAACAGAGAACCCAACACGCCGCCCCAGTAAAGAGCCAGGCTTCGCGTCCCCCACCAAGGGGGAGCCCAAGCTTCCTGCTCGTCACCGCACCCAAAGGAGGCGACCCAGCCGCCTTGCCCCCACTATTGCCCAGAGCGCCCCGGCGGCCTCTTCCCCCGCGGCCCCTCCAACAGCCTCAGGCGCCCGGGCCCTCCCCTCGCGGCAGCCGGGCCGAGCCCGCGCTCACCCGTTCTTGAGATCCACCTCGAGGATCTTGCCGTAGCCCTTGAAGAAGCGCTCCACGTCGCGCTCCCGGGCCTGGTAGCTGAGGCGGCCGATGTAGACCCGCGGCATCGCGGGGCCGGGGCTGGGCCCGCGGGGCGTGAGGGGCCCGGGGGCCGCGCGGCCGCCTGACGTCACGGCGGCGCGCGGGCAGCGACGCGGGGCAACGTCACGGCGGGCCACGCCCCTCGCGCGGGTTGGCTCTTAAAGCGGCCATGCCTCCGTGTGGGCCCCACGGCACCGAGATGGGGGTCCCGTTTCCCATGGGAGAGCATGGCTCGACCCCCCCTTTCCTGCGCGCGGGCCCCAGATGGGCGTTCCACGTGTCTGATGTGCAGGGCAAGGTGGGGCCACCCTTCCCATGGGTCACGGGGCTTGTGGGGTCCCCTCTCCCCATACACCGCGTGTGTCGGGGTCTGCCTTCCCATGGGAGTCCCGTTCCCCATGGAGGGGATGGATCGCTCCCCCCTTCCCACGTGCAGGGCGCTAATGAGGGTGCCGAGGTGCTTATGGGGTCCTCTCCTTGCCCCATTCCCCAAATGCTGGATCCTGATGGGACCCCAAAGGCAGGCAGGGATGGGGGTCCCCCATCCCCACACTCGGGCTGCCCAGGCATCCTCCCATGGCATTCCCCACCCGTGACCAGACTTGGCTTTTCCTCATTCTCTCTAGTGAGCAACAACATCCCGCTTGCTGAACTCTAAATATCAGACTTGGGGAATTATTTTTATCCTTTCAATTGAGACGTCAGATGCCTAAATCACACCAAATCGTAGCAGAGGCTCTTGGAACATTCCAACATTAGCAGCCACCCCCCTAAAAAACCCCACAATCACCTCCAAAATGATTAATATTGTGTAGGTGCAACACCAGCAGCTGGATTTCCAGCCATGATATTTCTCATTTGACAAGGAGAATTAAATTTATTTATTTCTTCCTTTGTGCCCTGGTGCAGGAGTGAGAGGTCAGAACATTTTGTGAAAGAGTTCTCTAAAGCATGTTGGGTTTTATCACTGAGCCCAATAAACAATGAGGGATAAAAGCTATGCATTAATTTTTTTGGTTTATGCCATGCTTAATAGTGCTCGTAACGATCTCTTGGTTCTTTTTTTGCCTTTTTTTTTCCCAATTTATCCATCGATGAGGAAGCACTGAGGCACAGGATGGGGCTCTGCCTCCAGTGCTGGCAGGGGGAAGGAAAATGCAAAATATTGGGGGATTTATTAGGCATGGAGGAGCAGAAGGAAGACGCTGGTGCAGAGTCTATCCTGGGGCACATCTGCTCTCTGCTTAGAGAGGTCTCAGTGTGAGGGGTTTTAGGGGGTGAAATGGCTTTGACACATCCATTTAGTTGCCAGCATGACAGTGGGGTTTAATTTCAGAGAGTTCTGCTCTTCCAAGCACACATGCAGTTGTCCAGTGCTCCCTCCAGTCCTGAGCAACATTCCTGCCCTGCTCTTCTCCTCACCCCACGGGACCCAGAAAATCCCCCAAATGAAGGTACACCTTCCTGGGCTGTCCCCCACACCCTCTCTGTGCATGGGAATGACACTGCCAGCTCCCAGTGAGGAGCCACCTCCCTGGGCCCCCCAGGCCTTTGGTAGATCCAGAGAGGCCCTGCCATAACCCCACCAACTCATCCAGGACTCCAGGATGAATCCTGGAAGAGCCTTCAGTTGACACAACCAGTCCCTCACAATTCCTCTGTCCATGCACAATTCCACACAATTCCGCAGTCCTCCCACTCGGAGCATGTTGGGAACTGGGCACAAGGTGGGAGAATGCCAGTGAGGTCCCTGGGCTGGGTTCTGAAGGTTCTGAGACAAAGAAAGTTCGAGGAACCCAACCCAAGGGTGGTTATTTCCATTGCAAGATGTGTTTGAGGAACATTTCCTCTATAGTTCATCCTATGGAGCAGCATGGAGAGCCTGCTGGGATCCAAGAACATCACCCAGGAACAGGGACAGTCAGAGCAGAAGCAGCCCTGTGGACACCACACACCTGGGTCATTCCAGAGCAATTCCATAGAGGCATTTCTGCATGGGGCAGAAGGTGCCAAGTGAAAAATCTGAGGTCTGGGGCATTTGGATGCCCAATGCTGTCCCCTTCCCCATCCCTCCCTGGGCACTGCTCCCAGGAGCACTGGGACACAGCACTGCCCTGGCAGGACATTCCACATGGAAATACAGCTGGAATCAGCTCTGGGCTCAAACAGATCTCTGGAAAATCAGAGTTTTGAGGTTATTTCTGTATCTCCCACCTCCTGCTGCGACAGGTGTCGCGTTGTGATGTCGCTGGGATGGAACACAGGCTGGAAAACTTCCCAGGCAGCTGGAGCCATAGGATTCCATACTGCTGACTATCAGGACCAAGAAGCTTGTTGGAGGCAGCCAAGCTGTGGAAAAATAAGTCTAAATGGAGCTGTCGTCACAGGAGACATCCTGTGCTTCTGTCCTAGAGGATCCTGCTTGGTGTGTGGCTTCAGCAGCTCCTGACCATCCTAGAGATGATATAGGACCATATTGAGATGCTGCTGTGGGACCCCCTGCAGACAAAAATGCCCTTGAAGGTTGCCCTGATGAATCCTGGGACCACAACATGAAATTTTTCTCCTTAGAGAGCTCTGCTAGCACCAAATCTTTGGCTGACTCTTTCCTCAGGAAGCTATGGGAGATCCTGAGCAGCCAGAGTTTTGAGTCAGTCTGGTGGGGCAACAATGGGAACTGCCTTGTGATTGGAGAAAAGCTCTTCAGGAAGGAAGTGCTGGGCAGGAGAGGGCCCCAGAAGATCTTTGAAACTGAGTCCATGAGAAGCTTCCTTCTCCAGCTAATGTTCCATGGATTCCGCAGAATGGAAGGGGATTCTCCCCTGCTGACCTCCATGGAGGAGCTCAGAGCAGTAGCAGCAGCTGGGTCTGCACTGGGAAAAGTACATCAGCTCCTCCCAACAGAGGTTCCTTGGGACACTCACAGGGAGGTTCAAGTTCAGCTAAAATAAGCCTTGACAAGGCTGGAGACTGGATGGGAACAAACACAGCTTTATTTTGTCCTGGAGTGAGTTACTCTGGACATGCTGAGGGGCCTGGAAACTAGCGGGCTTTGGTTTTCCTCAGCAGTTTTCTGGCTTTTGAAAACCCTACACTTCTCTGCTCCCAAATGCTCAAAACATGAGGGTGGATGTGACTTTACAAAGCTCTGTCCTAACTTTAGTCAACCAAAGCCTTAGGTGTGAAATGCCAGAGTCCTTTAACACCCTTTTGTCCTTGCTTGTGCCAACTCCCGGCTCTCCCTTGATTTTCTCCCTCCTCCTTGCATCAAACAACTCCTTCCCTTTGCCTTTTGCAGCTGCTGTTCTGCTCCAACCCCTTTCTCACCAGGGATGACCTGCCCTGTGTCCGGAGGGGTCTGCAGGTGCTGGGGAAAGCACAAACCCCCTGGCTGTGCCCCCCACCGGGCACTGAGATCCTGGCAAAGCACCCAAGGAAAAGGTGGGATGCTCAGCCGGCGGCAGGAGGAGGAGCAGGAGCAGGAGGAGGATGAGGACGCGCAGACACCTACGAGCAGCAGCTGCACGGTGCCCGAGGCACGGGCAGACACAACGGCCCGGGCGGGCAGCGCCGGGCCCGCCTCACGCAAACGGCCCCGCAGACACGGCCCCGCAGGCCGCGCCCCGCAGGCCGCTCCTGCCCCAGCCGCGGCCGCTCGGCCCCACGCCGCCCCTCCTACCCCACACGGGCCCCGCACACTCGCACTGCCCACACTCTGCTCCCCTCCGTGGTTCGGGATGGCCACGCTGGGGCCAGGGCCAGCGCCGGCCACACTGCGGCCCGCGGCCACTGCCCCCCCTGCAGCTGCACAGCCAACGCGGCCGGACCTCGGCAGAGCTGGACTGGCAAGAGCAGGGGCCATAGGGAGCTTTGGGGTCATAGAGTAGAAGAGCAGCACAGGAGGAAGCAAGAACACATTGTTGGTTGTTGTCAATAATAAATCTTTTCACATTGCTCTGCAGTGTCACAGGCACTGTTCCACACCCGGCCAGGAGGGCCTTCAGGGACACTGAGGGTCTGGCCCCAGCCCTTGCAGTGCCCTTGGCCAAACCCAGCCAGGGGTGACCCAGGGCTCCTCCAGGAGCGGCAGCAGCACCTAGGGCCACTGCAACCACAGCATCCCTCATCCTTTGGGGCAGTCCATGTCCCTTCCTCCTCCTACTTGGAGGCAGCAGGGCTGCAGGGAGATGACTTGGGCTTCCCTGCCCATCCCACATTCCAGATGGGATAACTACAGCCCTGCCAGACCCAAAAAGCACATCTGAGGGGGAACTGCTGCTCTTTTCACACTCTGAGCTGAGCGAGCCATCATTTGGGATCCCAAACTCACCCCAGCCACAGTGAGGTGCAGCCTCCCTCCCGCGGCACTTCCACACAAAGCTGCGGAGGCTTTTAAAGCTTTCAGTGGGCACCCACAATGTGATAAACAAAGGAAAAAAAGAAATTCAATGGATGTGGAGGGTCTTTTCACCACTCAAGTCTGTAGACAAGCATGTGGAACAGGACAGGGCTCCAGGAGCTGCAGGTCAGAGGAGGAGGATCTGCTTGGAGGACACAAAGGGCTTCATGGAGGCCTCCAGCGCTGCCCTGTAGTCCTGAAGCGGGACCTCGGTGCAGGCTGGTGCTGTGAGCTGGCCCCTGCGGATGAGCTGGCACAGGGCATCCATCATCGCAGCCACGCTCTCCTGGTCTGCACAGGAAGGAGGGAGTTCTCACTGTGCCATCCACCACCCCTGGGAACACCCGCCCGCGGCCATACGGGGTCCCTGGGTGTGACATCCCTCAGCTCAGGCATGTGGGATGAGCAAAGAGCTCATGGTCCCTGCCTGAGGCCAGCACCACTCTCTCAGCACCCTGGTGACGCCTTAAGTTTTAGCTTTCATATTTTCCAGATTCTGTCCTGCATTAGTGTGTAATTCTGAACTTCATATGAAGTGTCAGCAAGTTCTCCTCACAGTTCAGTCAGACAGAACAATCCTTTTCCAGCCCCAGAACCAAGGACACCGCTGCAGCTTCAGGCCCAAAAAGTGCAAACAACAGTGAACTGAGGAGAGCAAACTGGGAGGATGGGACTGTAACTGGACAATTAACCCCAATATGGAAATGGACCAAAACTTACAGAAGTGTGAAAACTCGACCCACTGTCCATCTTGGGTGTACCCTCGGCTGGGCTTTGTACTGCCCAAGGTGTGTTAAGTTTTAGCTTTCATATTTTCCAGATTCTGTCCTGCATTAGTGTGTAATTCTGAACTTCATATGAAGTGTCAGCAAGTTCTCCTCACAGTTCAGTCAGACAGAACAATCCTTTTCCCGCCCCAGAACCAAGGACACCGCTGCAGCTTCAGGCCCAAAAAGTGCAAACAACAGTGAACTGAGGAGAGCAAACTGGGAGGGTGGGACTGTAACTGGACAATTAACCCCAATATGGAAATGGACCAAAACTTATAGAAGTGTGAAAACTCGACCCACTGTCCATCTTGGGTGTACCCTCGGCTGGGCTTTGTACTGCCCAAGGTGTGTCCTTTGAAAGAAGCCTTTTAATAAATCCCTACTTTATTCCTTTAACACTGTCCAGCCTCTGTTCTAGGCAGCTTCTCAAGGCATCACTGGGACAAGAGAGATGGCTCCATGAGTGGGAGTGAGGGTGTGCTGGGTGGGGTTTGTCCCCGCTCCCATGCCCAGCAGGGGAACAGACCCTCAGCTCCCCCAGCTCAGGTCCCTCACCCCCCCAGCTCAGGGCCCTCACCCCCCCAGCTCAGGTCCCTCAGCCCTCCTGGCTCACCCTGTGCGTGGTCCTTCCGCCACTGCGTCATCCAGAACCCACGGAACCGCATGTCACGGAAGATGAAGGCGCTCTGTGGAATGTATGACACCTATGTGTCCTCCTGGTACCCAGCAACACTCCTATGTCCCCTTGTGCAAATGACACTGGCATCCCCTTGTGCATCCAGTGACTCCCATGTCCCCTCACACAGGCAGTGACACGTGTGTGTCCCCTCTCAGCGTGACAGTGGTGGAAAGTAGCAGTAAGGCCCCTTGTTAGAGCTCCCATTTGTGAGCCAGGGATGTGGAGAGGTGACTCCAGGGATGTGGAGAGGTGTGGAGTCAGGGCAGGTGTGATGCTCAGCACCTGCGGGATCATTTACCCCCTGGAATTTTTCGGCAGCCCAAATTCTCCATATAAAAGCCAAGAGCCCAGCAGTGGATGCAGCTTGTCCTGTGACAGACCCCATCAGGCAAAAAAAAGGCTGGAGGGTCTCAATCTGCACCTGGGGAGAGCCAGGGGCTCACAGTACTGAGGGGATGGGGACATGCAGTGGAGCACAGGAGACTAAGGAGGGACATCCCCAGTACTCACCACAGGCACCATCACAGGCTGCTTTGCCATCCCCCCGTAGGTGACCATGGTCCCCTTGGGCCTGGAGTAGGAAAGGGGTATTGGGTTAGGTGGTCCCAAAAGTGCAACTCTGAGTTGCCACCTCCTCCTCTGCTGTCCCCAACCCCACTGGGGCTGTCCTTGCACCCAGGGCTCCCCAGTTACCCCTCAGATCCCACTTTCCAGGCTCTCTTCTTGCTGAATTTGCAGCTCAGCACCCCAGTTACACTTGGCCAGGACTTGGGGGACCTTCACAACTGGACCCCAACTACCCCCAGCAGCATGAGACTTCAAATCACTGTTGTTACCCAAAACCACTTTTCCATTCATCTTTCCTCTCCAAAAAGTTCAACAGACTCCAGAGCAGGTCCCTCTATTGCCAGTTTCTGTCCCCAGGCTTGTGCCCAAGCCACCACCCAGCCAAACTTACTGCAGGTGCCGCAGCATCTCTGTGGTACTTTTGCCTCCAACGCAGTTCAGGGCGAGCCGGGGCCTCGGGATGCTCTGCAAGGGTTTATGACAAAGGTTCCCAAACGTTATTGTTGTGATAAGGCACGAAATGATGACACACACACTGCTGCTCTCGAGGGGAACAAAAAAGAAGAAGAAGCTTTATTTTCTGACTCCAACATTTATAGTTTTCCAAAGGTGACAGTGGATTGGAGGGTGACAGTGCCACCTCTCCAATGCCACTGGACAGACCAAGGGTCTATCAATTCTCTCCACCTCCATGAAAAAATGCGAAACATAGGTTATTTACAGAACTGTGTGTGAGAAAGTTTGTTGAAAGAATGTAAACATCAGAAGGCTTAACAAAGTCTTACAAAATCAGGGCGACACGTTATGGCTTCTTTAGGGGATGGGACCATGGTTCTTGATAAACCAAGCATTAACCTCAACATTTACCTGAGGGCTGCTGAGAGTAAGAGCTAAAATCTGTCAGAATCAAGGAACAGCTGGGGTTGGAAGGGACTCATTCCAATCCCCTGCCATGTGCAGAAGACACCTTCAGCTAGACCAGGCTGCTTCAAGCCCAGTCTGATTGGAACCAAAATCTGCGATCCTTCCCTTGTGGCAGCAGCAAAATCCCTCCACTACCAGGGCTAAATCCTGGTCTAGAAAGAAATTTGTCCTTCCCACCATCCCTGCCCTTCTCCCCAGTGCTGAACAGCAGCGACAGCCCTGGACCATCTCTCAGTGGGATAAGCATTGAGATACCTTAAATATATCTTTCATCTCTGGCTTTCTCAGCATCTCCTCTGTGACGACATGGTCAGCACCCAGGGCCATCAGCCTCTCCACCAGTTTTGGGAGATCAGGTCTGGGGAGGGAAAAAGGAGATAAAAAAAGAGGACTAAATGAGCCAGGAAGCAGAGTACCCCCTTCTCCTTCCTTCTGCTCCGACGTTGCATGGGGACAACAGGGAAGAGGCTGGAGAACAACTTAGAGGAAGAAACGGGAGAAAATCCTGGGTTTGATGGGCAGGATAAGCAAATCCAGCTCCCAAACTTGCTCCTCCCCAGAGGACCCACCTGTCCCTCACCACATTGATGGTCTTGACACCGGAGGCCCTGGCGATCTGGATGACGGCCTGGCCCACACCACTGTTGGCGGCGTTCTGGATGACAGAGTCACCTGGATGTGAATAAACCCAGATTCCCACTGCAGAGGCAGCCAGGAAATCCGTGTGGAATTGCTCCCTCATGGCAGGGCCATACCGGGGGCCAGGCTTTCGAAGTCAGCCAGCAGACGGAACGCCGTGCAGGGGTTGACGCTCAGAGTGGCAGCACAGAGCACAGGGATGTCACTGGGCACCTTCAGCAGCATCTCCTCAGGGAACACTCCCCGCGTCCGCCACGTCCCTGGGAACAGCAGCACCATGGGCACAGCCACAGCAGGGGGGAAAGCAAAGGAAAACCATCAGCTCACACTGTAGCCTTGGCTCCAGCAGCATTGCATGCTGGGAACCAGCCACCCTGGAGAGAGAATTATAGAATGGGTTCCCATATGGGTAGAGTCAAAATGCTCCAAGAGGCAAGGAATGGATTCCTCACTGCCTGCCAAGATTTATCACCCAGCAAAGCCTAATCATTTCCTAGAGGGATAATGGGACTAGGATTCCCCGGGTATGTGTGCAGAGATAATGGAAATACTCTCCATCCTATGGATGAGCCCATATATTCCAAGCCAATTTAGCGAGCTTTACTCCCTCTATGCTTATATCCAATTTAACCCTCTATCATCTATTTACAGCATTTTTATGCTTAAAAATACACCATTTGGCTCTTAACTCTATAGTTTTCCTTCTCTCATTTAGCAAAAAGTCTTTTAAGAGGAAACAGGCAAAGAAAAAGTTGTGACACTAAACCACAACCAGCAAATATCAGGCCATTGGCATTTTGGAGGAGCATAGGAGACATTTGTTGGGAAATAAATTACCACACTTTCCCAGCAGAGCATTATTAAAGAGAAAACTGCAGTGAGAGGCCACCGTGACCTTGCCCGTGTGAAATGTTTCATCCCAGGTCTTTAGGGAAGCTCTAAGCTGATGGGACAAAACTTGGTTGTTTCCAGAGAAACACAGATTGCTGCAATGCTTTATAATGGCACAGACATCCCATAAAGGGTCTATGCTACAGAAAAGAAGATTATTGCTAAAATTAAGTTTGACATAAGGAATGGCCTTGCCACTACTCCTATTCCAGGTGTTCTAGGGTGCATGGTAAGTCCTGTGCACAGAAGCCCCTTCCCTGGGGACCCCCATCCTTCTTGAGAACCTTCCTGTGTTTGTGGAGGATGAGCAGCATCACTTGCTGGGGCTGGGCAGCTGAGTTTGCTTTAAAAAAATACACTAAAAGTAAAATAAAAATAAATTAATTAATTTAAAAGAAAAACAGGTGGTAAAAATAAACCAAGACATAAACAGGTAAGAAATAACCTCATTCAATTATCTCAACTGTCTCATTATGATTCGTCTCACATGGCACTAAACGGGCTCCAACTCCTGCTTCCCTCGCCCAGCATTCCCTAATGGAGTTTTGTTCCCCGTTTTGAGTCCCATCCCATCAGGTGTAATTGCTGTAAGTGCAGGGGCTCATGGCTCTACCCACACCCTGCAAAGACGGTGCTTTGGAGTGCTGTGCTTTTGCTTTGGAACCCCCAAAATCCTCACAGCAGTTCACACAGGAGCTGACCATGGGTTTGCTCTCTGGGCAAGCCTGGGCACCCCCCATGGGCTCCAGCACCCCAAAAATCCCCTGGGAAGATGCTTTGCTGGAGGGGTGAGCAAGGACCCAGCAGTGCCGAGGCTGAACTCACCGAGCCCGGCGTTCGCGGGGATGACCCAGTCCCCAGGTTTCAGAGCCGTCACACGGCGCCCAACCTCCAGCACCTCCCCGACACCTTCGTTCCCCCCCACGGCTGGCAGCGGCGACAGGAGGGCGTAGGTCCCTGCAGGGAAGCTGGAGGTGAGCTGGTGACCCCCTCAGACCCCAAAATCCCCGCGTCAGGAGCCATCTCTGAACCCTCCGAGACAGGAGTTGGGTTTGAAGATCCTCGTGGGTCCCTTCCAACTCGGAGCATCCTGCAAGAACCAATGTGCAAAGTATTAATCCAACACACTACCTTGGATCATGTTGATGTCGGCAGGATTGATGGGGGCTGCCAACATCTTGACGTGGACATCGCAGTCCCCCAGCTTAGGCACTTCCAGATCCTTCAGTCTAAACAGGGAGACACAAAAGAAAAGGGCATTAATACCAGTTTGTTGATGTCTTCTGTGCTGTGACTGAAGTTGGAGGGTGCCTGTATCACCTACACACCCTACTTAAATTAACAGCACCGTATGCCCCATCCCATCAAAAAAATCAGATTTCTGTTGGACAAAAGGACAGATTTTTGGAGGAGGCTGCCAAAAGCCAACCACCCGAAACAATCCCGTGTCACTAAGCCCAGTGATGCTCACTAATCTTAAGAAACTCAGCAGGTTGTGTAAAAGAGCTGCGGTTTTGGCTGGTGATTTTACGGCTCATCCCGCCCCACTCGAGCTTTATGGGAAGCTGGGGTATTTCTGGAAATCTGTGAAAAAGGAGAAGTCGCAAAGCAAGACCAGTCTTGCACAAGCAATGGGGTGATAACAGCAAATCTCAAGAAGTAGCAGTGGTGACAAGCAGCACTGCACAACTAAATGATCATTTGGAAAAGCAACACTCCTTCTCCAAAAAAACAGGGGATTGATGTCTGGATGCACCTGGATAATGTATCAGCATGAACTGAGCTGGTTCAAGAGGGGCAGCAAGAGCTCAAAGTCTCCTCCCTTGAAAAAAAAGGCCTAAACTCCACTAAACTACAACTTTCTCCTTTCCAGGATTTTTGTTGCTAAGCATCAGCAGTTGTCCCAAAAAATGCTTGTGATGCTGCTTTGGTTCCTAAATTGGGACCTCAAAGGGAAGACCCATCAATGGGATGCAACCCAGGGTGAAGCTGATGCACAGTGATGCTGAGGCTCGGACCTCCCTCCCTCCAAATTAAGCAAGAATGGGCTTTTTGAGAAAAACACGAGGTTTAAGGCCAATTGACAGAGCAGCAGCAGCTGGGTGGGGGGATATGGAGGCATCACCCCCAGCGTCCACCTGTGAGACCATGGCACCAGGAAAACACTGGGGCATCCCAGGGTCCTCCTGCGTGTTCAGGGGTCCCTCAGGGAGCTGCAACCCATCCCCACCCTCTACGCCTGGGGTGCGCAAGTCCTGACCCCCCAAAGCAGCCCTGCAGCACCCCAAAACCTCACCTGCACCCCCACTCCTCTCTGCACCCCCGCAGCCCCGCTCCAGATCTCTGTCCCACTGTGCCCCCCCAGCCCTGGCCCTACACCCGCACCCCCTCCCTGCAATGCCCCCCACATCCACACCCACCCCATTCCTGCACCCCGCTGCAATGCATCCCCGCGTCCCGCCCTTACTGCACGACGGCTGCGGGCTCCCCGTGCCGCTCATAGAGCAGCCCGAGCGGAGGCGTCCCCGCCGTGGCCGATCGCGCCCGCACCGGGGGGGTCCGAACCAGGGGGGTCAGCACTTGGGGGGTCCGAACCAGGGGGGTCAGCATTTGCGGGGTCCGCGCCCCGCGCAGCACCCACGCTGCCGCTCGCTGCATTCGCCGCCGCTCGGCTGAACTCGGCTCCGCTCGGCTGAACTCGACACTTCTCGGCGCTGCCCGGCTGAGCCCGGCGCTGCCGCCGCTGACGCTCGGGTTGGCCCCGCCCCCGGGCGGCCCCGCCCCCGGGCCTTAAGGCGGCCCGGCCGCTAGCCCCGCGCCCTCAGGGCCCGCTTCCCGCTGGTTTGTGCCCAGAACGCTCTGAAGTTATTAACCGGGTCCGCGTCCGCGCAGCCGAGCTCTCAGCCGAGCTCTCTGTGTCCATGGGCGCAGGAACATCTCGGTCCGCGTGGTCACCGGATCATGGAATCGTTCAGATTGAAAAGCACCTCCAGGATCGTCGTTGTGAGGCACCCCTGGACCCCTGGCAGTGCCCAAGGCAGGCTGGACACGGGCTTGGAGCAGCCTGGGACAGTGGGAGGTGGCCCTGCCATGGCAGGGGTGGGATGGGATGAGCTTTAAGATCTCTTTCCACCAAAACCATTCCATGGTTTTGTGATTTTGGGGAGAAAAATCCATTTTCTCTGCTTTATTACCCGGTGCTTTCCAGCTGCTCTGTCTGGGATAGGAACGCTCCCAGCAGGGAGAGCTGCAGGGAAGTGTTCGTCAGATGATTATTTAAAACAACAGATGCCTGACACAAGTGGTGAGAAAAAAATTCCCGATAGTACTTTAATTCAATGTTTCGTATAATTATCTTGAAGGAAAGGTCTCATTTAGTCTTCCAATTAAAACTGACTAGATCAGAGTGGGGGAAAGAGAAACAGAGCCTCCTGCTTCCCGATAGACCTGTGACAGAGACTTGCTTTGCAAAGGATTGATATCCAAGAGAGGATCAGCCCCACAGATTCCTGCTGGATCACCACCGATCGTCCCGAGGCTGTCCCCTCTCCGGTGATCCAGCACAGACAGACACTGGTGGGTACTAAAACAAGGCCAGGTGCTCAGGGTAGGATTTTTCAGTCTCAGCTGACCCAGCTTGTCATGATCCTAAATGGAAGATTTAGTCAAGCTTGATAGTTCACATCATTTTTTTAACAAAAAAGGAAAGCAACATATTCTTTGGGGTGTGAATTCAGATTCAAGATGAAGGAAAAGTTCAGGTTTGGAAAAAACTCTCTTCCAGAGTGCTGGTGACAGGTTTTCTGCCTTTTCTGGGGTATGATTTGCTTTTGGGGGTGCCTCAGAGGGCTCAGGGTTGTTCCCACCAGAACCTCTGTAACAGCACAGGGGAGAGAGAGAGAGAGAGAAAAAGAACTTTTTTCACCGACTTCTTCAGTTTATAAGGAGCCTTGAGGTCACTTGTAGGTGGATGTAAAAGTCTCCCATGTGATGGTACTGCAAGGACAGCAGAGTCAGAGGACAAAACAGCCTTTTCCCACCTGGTTGGGGTCCTGAGCACATCCAGGTCCTGGCAGCACCTCCACCTCCAGGCAGGAAGGGGCCTCCCCAGCTGCCTCCAGCATGGCTGGGTATTTCAGTCATTTAATCATTTTAATCTAATCACAGCAATAAAATAATGGGATTTTAATAACCTCAAAACCTACAGCTTTCCAAGGATGCCAGGAATGCCTCAAATGTTTTGTGTTTAGGGGGGATGCACGAGCAATCTGTGGTGGAGGAATTGTGTCCATGCTCTGCCCCACGTAGCAAAGGGTTAATCACTAATTACAGAAGCCAAATGAGAGGCCTCTCCATCCCCTTGCAAACGTGTGCGCCCGCAAATCAGAGCTGGCAGACGATTTATGATTATTTTGTTAATGTTTCTCCTGTAACAAGCGCAATTTCCGCATGATTAATGACTACTTCATATCCTGGAATTGCACTTTTTTATAGGAGTGTTGCATGAAAATCCACTTTGCAGTTGAGGGTTTAGGAGTGGGTGGGCAGAGGAGGAAGAGGAGATGATTTCCCAGCACCTGGTGGGGGGAAGGAGTGCTGTCCTCTGCTCCTCTCTGCTTTAACCCCTGTTATTGTTCATGAGCTCTGATTTATCATAGTATCATGATTTATACAGCCATCAATTAATTGGAGTTGTTCACATTTGGGCATGGCTGGAAAGCAAAAGTGCTGATGATAAGTTGGATTTGTTCCTGCAGGCGTGAGGGGATGCAGGGTGGGAACAAGCACCTTTGTGACACCAGGGTGGCATTTGCTGGGATTTCTCTGTCCTGTTGAGGACAGAGATTTTATCTCCTGGTTTAGGAGGAGTTGAGCCCAGCAGGTTCAGCCTGACCCCAGGAGCCTCATGTGGACTGTGCTGCCTCCAGCTCTCCCAGTGCTTAATTAAGTTAATGTGAAATTATTAATTAACTGCTTATAAAGACTGACACCCCTTTTAATTAAAGGGAATAATAATTTATTGCCTTTTCCCTTTTTGGTGGAGAAATGGAAGGTGTGTCTGCTTTGCTTAGGGAAAAAAAATAAGAAAGCTGAGGCTGGAGAGATTTCTGGGAAGGGCTTCTGAGTGGGGATTTTGATGTTGCATCTCAGTGGCTGTCCCAGGGCAGCCAGATGTGGTCCAAGCCCTGCTGGATCCCCTGGACATCAGGTCAGGAGGCTGGGCTGGGATTTCAGGACTGGGATGCACCAAAAGGACAAGTCTTGTGAAACAAGCTGCAAAATAACTTCCCTGTCCAGGCAGAGAAGGGGATGCTCAGAATCCCCCAGGGGGGAAGGCGGTGGAGGGGCTGCCCCGGCCCTCGAGCACTGAGCTCCTGTGTCCCCAGACCCTTCTCCTTCTTCCCAATCACTGCAGCCACCTGTGTCCATTGCAGGCTCCTGGGGGCTCCTGGGACCAGTCCCTCCCCATCTCCTGCATTTTTTAATGCTTAAGAACAGCTCAGCTGGTTATTTTCCCATATTGAGCCTCATTCCCCCCAAACCCAGCGCTACTGGCAGAGCCCCCTTGCTCTGACATCAATCGCTTTTTATTAGACTTGCCTGAATCTTTGAATGGAAAACATATTGTCCTTAAAGCTCTGCTTTGCATAATCCTTGGTTTATCCCTGAATCCCTCATTTAACATCTCTGATGGAGCTGGACAATCCCATAAACTATTGAATTCTTAACACCTCAAAACGTGTGCCCGATGCTCCCAGCTCCACATGGAGATGAGGTCAGTGGGATGGGATGCCCACAGAGGTTTTGTTTTTTTAAGCACACTGATGGCTGTTTCTTGCCTCTCTGATTTTTTATTAATCCCCCTTTAAGTTGTTTCATTGTCAGATAATTAAGGAAAAACGTCTAGGAAGAAACAGGACGCTCAGTGGCGAATGGAGAATTGATGAGTTCTGATCCTCTGCCAAGGAGATGAACAAGGAGGATTCAGCTCCAGCCATAAATAAGGAAGGAGAGGGAGATGCTGAGAGGATCCAGCTGTGCTGGGACATCGTCCTTGCTTGCTCCTTGCTTTTCCCATCACGGCTTTTTCCCATGCCGCCAGTATTTGGGTTGTGCAGTGGAGCTGGTCCATCCCTGGACTTTCAGGGTGATAGATGCAAAAATCTTCCTGTTCAGGCATTTTTCCAGCTTGGAACAGTGCAGGAACTGGTCTCGAGGGTTGGTGTTTAGGAGGTGACTCAGAACTGAGGTGTGATGTCCACAGGACATCATCCAGCTGGATGAGGAAGAGCACGGCTGAGGTGGGCAGGGGAGATGCTTCTTTGGGCCCCATGTTGCCACAATGGCACCCAGAGGCATCAACCCAAGTGATTTGGCAGGGAAGATCTCTTGGAACAGTTTGAAAAGCTGCCCAGGTGAAGAAAGGGACCAAATTGGTGTCTTTTATCCTTTCTTAACTGCATTTTAACTTCTCATTTTCCTTCTCTTCTCTGTAGACCTGAAATTTCCCCATCATTGCAGGAAATTGTTAGCATGAACAATGATTTGGGAAAAGAACTGATGGATTTCAGTTCTGGGTTCTGTCCATTCCTGAGCCAGTTGGTTTTGTTTGTTCCCATGAAATGCCCAATGAACTCTTTTTGTCACAAACTGCCAAGTGCATCCTTTCCCCAACGGGCTTTGGAAAGGCACCAAAGCAGAGCTGCTGATGCTCAGAGGAGGGCAAACGAGAGAGGACAGCTAACACTTCCCCTGTACGTAAAACTGAACAAAATAAACCCAAACAAGATGTAAAACCAAATGTAAAATGATAATAAATAAATGTTGGATGTGATATTGTTCCCTCGTTTCCTTGCAGTTGGATTTTAAAAGGAGCTGGTTGCACAGCCAGCTCTGTGCTCAGGCTCCAGCCTGTCAGCACTGAGACATGATTATGAAAAATTTGAGCAATAGCCAAACCTCAGGTCTGAAAATAAATGACATTTGTGATTTTGGATGTGATCAGAGACACAAAATACCTTAGCTGATTTACATCTCCTCTCAAGAAAACCTCCATCCTGAGGCAATACCGAAGGAGCAGCACAAAGAGCTTTGGTGTAGAACTGCTTGGGTTCAATGCCTTGGTTCTGGATGGTTTTTAATCAAGGTCATTTTCCTGCGAGGTTTAGGGATGGGCAAATCCATGCAGCTGGAATGGCAGCTGGGCTGGGTGAAGTGCTGAGCAGATGGACAGACGGATGGTGCACGGTACCATTATACCATGGTGGTATATTTTGGGGTTAAAAGCAGTCTGCAAAAATTCCAGGAGCATTTATGATGCTCCCAAACAGCTCCAAAAGCAGGGAAGGGGATGCACCAACTGGACTGAAATGGACACTTGTGTCCCTGGTAATGTGATTTTTAACTGTTTATGTGGCAGTTCCAGGGTAAGGACCACATGGTGATGCAGAATTATTCCTGCATTTCTACCCCACACTCACAGAGGTCTTTCCAGGAATAATTAAAAAAAAAAAAAAAAAGACAAAAATGACCTGAAGGGAGATAAATAAGCCCACAACAAGGTGACATGGAGGAAACATTTGGGCTTTTCCTGTGCAGGTGGCCAGGAAGCAGCTGTGGCTCCAGGTGCCATGGGTGCAGCCCCAGGAGCATCACAGTGTACCCAGAGGTGACACTGGTGGTGCCGGTGTCTGCATGTCTGTCACACTCAAGAGAGGACAGAAATGGGAGGGTTTAGGGGGGTAGCAGAGGGGGAAGAAGCAGAGT